ACAACTTTTTAGCTTTTGTCCTTTCTCTCCTTTCACCAAATTTGGGTCTATAATCCTTTGAGTCACAACTCCAGCTTTATTTAGTAATCCTTCCTCATTCACACATCTCCAAGTACATGAAAATATTTCATTTCCACTCAAAACTAAAATATGAATAAAGGTTTATGGCTTTGTGAAACTTCTTTTCTGAGTTTATGCCGTTGAAATAAATAAATAATAAAAAATTAAAACATTTGTCTGTTTTGTTTACACCTTTATTGGGCCGCATTGGAACTTGCCTTGGGCCGCATGCGGCCCGCGGGCCGCGGGTTGGACACCCCTGCAGTAGAGCAATGATTATCCTAATATCGATCAACCGAAACATCAATCAACCGAAAGTGTTCCAGTTGGCAAATTTAAATTTCTGCTAGTGCTGTGGTACTGCAATATTTGGCTGTCTTGGGCTACTCCAATATTATTTTTGTTGGTGTGCGTGTTTTAGCTGGCAGCACTGGTGCGACCATGAGAGGGTACTTAAGGACATGCCAGGATTTGAATGAATTTCAACAATGGGATAGGTTAATACAGTAGAGAGTCGTTTATCCGAATCAATTGGGGACTGGGGTTGTTCGGATAACTTATTTTTCAGATAACCAATTATGTACGAAAAAATATATTAATTTATCCCGTGTTGAAATTTTTCTCCATTGCATGTCGCTTCGCATTGAATTTTCGTCGATGTTAAGTCTAATGAAGACTATTGTATCATTAAAAATTATTTTTTTATTTTGTACAAACAAAATAAATATATTGAAAAATATAAAAACAATAAAAAATTATACTTCAGAAGTTAATTTAGTATCAAAAATGTAAAATATTTGAGTAGCCCAAGACATAGCCAAAGATTACAGCGCCACAGCACTGGCAAAAATTTAAATTTGTCGACTGGAATTCCTTCGGATAACCAACGTTTCGGATAAACGACGCTCTACTGTATATTTTTTCGTACATAATCGGTTATCAGAAAAATCTATTATCCAAACAACCCCAGTCCTGAATTATTTCGGATAATTGATGCTCTACTGTATTTGCCTGTTTTATTTGACCTTTGCAGCTTTGTGAGTCGCTTTCAATTTGGCTATTTGTTGTTTTTGGGCAGAGAATTTCTTGTTTATCCAGAAGCTTATTTTTCAGGATTATGTATGTTTCACACTGATCCAGCTTCTTTCTTTTTGTGAGGCATGTAACATCTGTATTTAAGCAAATAACATTACATGACACAAATTATTTTCCTCTATACACTACAGCAGTATATTATGTATCAATTCTCATCTTCCACATCCATCACTTGATCATGTTGAGCACCTGCCTCTACATCACTTGGCACTGATAGTGTAGGCAAGCTCTCAGGTAATGGATGTTTTCTAGGACTCCTTTGGAAGCCTCATCCTCCTCATACCTTTCAGTTTGAGAGATAGAAAGGAGCCTTTTTTTAGCCTGTATATAAAGCATTACAAATTCAAACAATTAAAAACCAAAACAACTAGGCTAAAAAGCTGTAAGCTGCTATTTTACTTCATATACCCTTGACTTCGTAGATTGGAGTTATTAACATCTTCCTTTATAAACTGGTGGAGCAAATCCTGCAGTTCCTATACAAGTACTTGGGTCTATTCTGCATACGATACACTTCATCCAAATCATTTTGGCTGCATAAGTGTACCCACTTGCCACATCTATTTTCATGGAATAAGTAGTAAAAATCACAATTAAGCTTGTAACTTTGACAAGCAATAAAACAAAATGTTAGTTTTGTGTACTTACATTTCACAATTCTTTGGAAATTGAATGGAGGACTTTACTGAGCCATCTTGATTCTATCATTTACAATGAATCAATCTCTACCATTGTAAAATTTCAGTGAAATCCAAATTGAAAAGAAGCACACACAATGTCAGATTCCTTGTACACCACAAAGGAAGAGCACATGTCGATTCAGTAAACCTTTACTGAAGAGAGTTCAGCAAGAAGTCCAATCCAAAATACATTTAAGTATTTGGGAGTGAAATCATCTGAGTAATTCTTGAACTTTGGTGAATGTTGGATTCAAAGGACAAAACATTTTGGTTTATTCACCCAAAATCCTCTTTTAAATGGTTATAAAAGTGAATGATTATATCTGGCAAATATTGGTAGTTTTAGCTTTGTACTAAATGCTTGAATTCTTTGTTTTCTAGTTCTAGACTAGAAAACAAAGAATTTTTTTAAGCTTTTCTCTTTTTAAAAAAATGAATGTTTGCTTAAAAGTTTTAAGGGCAGTTCATACTTTGTGAGAATGGAAGATAGAAGAGAAAACAACAGTAAATAGTTTTAGTGAGCAACATTTCACACATTACTAGTGACATACTTTGTTTTATTTTGGTTTGAGAGAAAAGTTGACAGTTGTCTTCTTTGTTGGTAGCTTACACCTTTGTATCCTTCAATATGGAGACTGATAAAATCGAAGTAATTAGAACGAGAGTAGAATTATCTTTTGATGACTTGTAATATATCATTTATGAATTAAGTTAATTAAATCTAAATAGATATTATCTCAATTTCCGTGTATATTTAAAACATACACAGAATATATTTAAAAAATATACAGAATATATATTTAAAACATACCTAAAATATCAAATTAGCTTTGGGATTATCTTCCCTCATGGACTGCAATTTAAAAAAAATTGTACACCTATAAATTCCCACTATCATCTATCTGTCCGTTTTTCCTTAATCTCAAGAATGAGTTAGATAGATGAAAGACAAGACCAGATATGGAAACTTTATGGGCATAAGGTCCTGATTATTTCTTTTATAAGTTTATTATATTCTCTACTCTTTTCTCCTTGAATTAACCAAATATACTCTTGTTTTTTTTTAAGAGTTTTATGCTCACGAACACTTTCAAAGCTTTACTTTAAACTACAGGTACCAATATTCTCTTTTTCTTTTGTTGTTTTGAAGTATGAATACTTCCAGGAAGAGAATAATAGAAAGAGAAGAGAGACATTCCCTTCCATTCTCATGAAATATGAACTGGCCTTTAGTCATGTTCTGTCTGAAAGAATTATGGTAAATTTTTTCCATCAGAAGCTGTTTATTCTACATTTTATAAATTGATGCATTCAATATCAACTGCTATTTCTGTTGTTGTAGTTGGAGTAAATTTTTGTGTTTACTAGTTGAAGCATGCTGCTAAATGTAACACAATAGTTTTTAACACACACTTGACAAAATGGTGTTCAGCTGTCATATTCCCAAATATTGGCATCATTGAATTATTCAATATGAGTTCAATATATTCTTGATTAACCTTATTGTTTAAGTTTGAACATTTTAAATAAATAATAATTTACCACAATACAAGTTTGTAACCATCATATGTATCATATGTCCCAGTCAACGTTTTTAGAATAATCTTAATGTCACATACAAAATCAATATTTGAACAGAAATAGTCAGATTTTAATTTCATGTTTAATTGAAAAATTATTTTCAATTTCTTAAAATGTGAAATAGTTTTTATATAGTGGAATAATTTTTAATTGTTTAGTTTTTTAACTGCTCCCTATTAGTTTAAAATGACTGATTTAGTACTTATGTTTTGATTTGAAAAATGAAAAAATTTTGAAAATTATTAATCCAGTATTCATAGTTATGTTAATGATAAAATTTGTGACATTAATTTTCTTATTAAATACATATATGAAACTTTGTCAATTATTTTGAAAATGAATAGTACAGCCACTTTGAACCTTTTACTGGTGTATATTATAAATAAGTTGAGCATGAGCTTCGCCAGTGAAGACTAATTGGTGATCCAAGGGTATATTCAACCTGACAAGCTGTTTCTAATTGCCTATGCATTATCTTTCTAGTAACCATATGAATGATTAAAAACAGTTAATATCCCATAGTTGATGATTAATAAGGAGAATCTATGCAAATAGAGATCCATGAATCCAAAGCAGTAAGTGGAAATACTCATTGATAAGTTTGTTTTCAACCTTAATTTTCAAAAATCACAAATGTAACACAAATAATCTTGGAAAAAATGGCATATTTAACATTTCAATTTTCTATTAATCTGATAAATTTCCTTGTCATTTCTGTTTTTGTATTTTTAATTATATTAAGAATCAACAGAATCACTTATAATAAATTTTATTTGAATGAATTTTAGTATTGCATTTATTATTATTTACAGGAACTCCTCTACTTACAAACATTCATCTTACAAACTTTCAGACTTACAACCAATTTGATCATACATCTAAAATTTAAATTTTGAATGGATTCTGAAGTTCTGTTACCACTTGTGGGGTGGTGTTGAAGTCAGTCTTTGGCCAGAAATAAATAAATTTATAATAAATAATTAGTGTGGATTTATTTCTATTGTGTATTGTCATTTTTCATTTTCATGCAAATTCTTATGTCCCGATGCTGCTGGGAGAAGGCACTGAAGTTGGTTTGAGTAATGGCAGTTTTTGCAATTTTTGTAATCTTTTACAATTGGTTCTCCAAAAATGCATCAAAATGTAATAGTAAATCTAGCAGTGGAGATAAATGCAAGTGTCACTATTCCCAATGGAAACTGAACTTGACACTAAAACTAAGTAACTTGGGTGGGGAAAAAACTGTTTGATACATCTGCTACTAAGCAGTAGTGAGCAGGTTAGCAAATGCAATGTATCTATTAAGTACGTTGAAAGATCAAACACGAACAATGGAAAAACAAAGGAAAACTCCGTGGTCAACCTATATAATAAATGCTTAAGTAAAAATTATTATTATTCATTGATTGATTTAATAATAATTTAATAATTTAGAGTAATATAAATTAGAGTAATAATTTAATAAAATTATTACTACTACTAATAATAACAACAAAAATAACTGATTTAATTTACCAAATGTATTTAAATAATTCAATTTTTTTTTCCTACATAATATAAAAATATTTATTACTGCGTTTTTAGATTACAGATGGAAGAAAGATTCTTATTAAGATTCCGAAAAGCTTGGAATCATCTATTATCAATTTGGGATCAGATAGGTATACATGGAGAACAGAGAGAAGAGAGGACAAATGTTGTAATGTGTCATTTAGAGACACTTCTAGAAGAAATGGTAGAAGAAGAAGAAGGTCTCAGAAAAAGATTACTTCAGAGTGTAGAAAGTTGTGGTCAAGAGATGCTAAAACTTTCTACCGAATTAAATATACCACTATTTGAGGTTTTTATATAAATTACATAAATTTTATAAAATGGTTTTTGTATTAATGGAAACACTTAAATTTTTATTTTTGTTATTAGCCTGAAGAAAATCTTTCAATTTTGAAATTGGAAAGTGAATTGCGAAATCGTGTAGAAGTATTATCCAAAGAACGACACGAACGGATTAAATCTTTGAAACGTCTAAAAGAGCAAGAACAAAAGCTATGTCAAAAATTATGTATTGCTGAACATGTCTTACCACAAGGAATTCCAAGTAAAGAGCATCTCTGTGAATTGGAACAGCATATTAAGATGCTTAAAGAAGAGAAGGTAATTTAAAAAAATAATTATGGAATTGTGTAATTGTTATTGTTCAATAATTATATATATATTTATTTATTTATATTTATGTAATATATGGGTGGTAGTCCCAGAAGTACCTGACCTAACAAAAAAGACACACAAAATTTGGGAAAACATATCTTTATTTCTCAACATAATCTCCTTTTCGCTTGATACACTTTTTCTAGCTATGTTCAATAGCTTCAATACCCTGTTTATAGTGAGAACCGTCGAGCTCCTCAAAATAGCCATCAACTGCAGACTCTACCTCTTCATTGTTGGCAAATCTTTTACCACCGAGTCATTTTTTCAAGTTTGGAAAGAGAAAATAATCTGAGGGGGCTAAATCTGGCGAATAGGGTGTGTGATGAAGCAATTCGAACCTTAACTCATTGATTTTAGCCACTGTGATATTGGATTTGTGAACTGGTGCATTGTCTTGATGAAACACTTTCTTTTTTGCCAAATGCAGCTGTTTTTCTTGATTTCATCACTCAAGTGCTGCAATAACTTTGCATAATACTCACTGTTGATGGTTTTTTTTTTTTTAAAGATAATCAATGAAAATTATCCCACACAAATCCCAAAAAATGACCTTGCCAATAGATGGAACTGTCTTTACCTTATTTGGAGCCGATTCTTACCTTTCAGTCCATTGTTTCGACTGTTCTTTCGTCTCGGGTGTGAAGTAATGGACCCATGTTTCATCCATGGTTATGAATCAATGCAAAAACTCTGCTTTATTGCTGCAAAACATTGCCAAACACTCAATTGAAACATCCTCATGATGCTGTTTTTGGTCCATTGTGAGCAAACACGGCACCCATCTTGCGCACAGGTGTCTCATGTCCAAATTTTCCGTCAAAATGCAATGTACAGCACTTTTTGAAATGCCTAATATGTCTGTTAGCTCTCACACTTTGAGTCGATGGTCATCCATTACCATTTTGTGGATTTTCTTCACCATTTCTGGCATGGTCACCTCATTTGGTTGACCAATACAATGTTCATCTTTGCAGCTTGTGTAGCCTCATTTAAACTCTGCCAATCAATATTTTATTGTTGTAAATGAGGAGCAGACTCTAGCTCAGCTTTGATATATTTGCACACTGTAATTTACTATGTCGAGAACACTCATTTTATCTGCAAAGTAGATTGCAACGAATTATTCAACAAATGATCTTACCAAGATGGACTATAAAAAATTAATTTTTCTTTGTAATATTCTTAATAGTTATTAATTTGCTATTACAAAGGATTTATCAAACTAAAATTATTTAATTAATTTGAAAGTTGACTAATAGATTCTTTATTAAGCCAATACATACTGTACAGTACATTAATAATAATAATAATAATAAACTCAAACTATACAAAACATGTACATTACGAAAACAACAAAATAAATTATTCACAAACAACGAAAAACTTTTCTACAGACAAATCAGTACCAAAACAAACACTGATACACAGCACAGTGGCACACCAACAGAAGAACAACTCACAACTTATTGGTCTTCTCTTTGGTCCAATGCTGTTACACACAATGCTGATGCAGGCTGGATC